TTGGGAGTGATTGGGCTTTCTTTCACCATCCGACAGAGGGTACCTCTAGGGGTATTCTTATTTTTTGGAATAAAAATTTTGTGTCTTTTAATCTAAAGGAGCATTCTTCACAATTGGGTTTTTGGGGTCCATAAAATTGTTGTCAAGTGTTGCTGGAACATTGCTACTATTTATGGGAATAAGGAGTTTCATGCTAGGAGGGGGACTATGGGAAATTCTTGAGAAGAATGTGGTTGGTAGTGTTTCTACTATAGTGGGTGGGGACTTCAACTATTTTTTGTCTAAGGAGGATAAGAGAGGTGGTAAAAGATTTTGTATCTCTCAAGGGCCGATGGAGATGAAGTTTTTTATGGCTAAAAATGATTTTCATGATGTAGGTGTTGTTGGACCAAGGTTTACTTGGTGCAATAATAGACATGGAGCTGCTAGGATTTGAGAGAGAGTTGATAGATGTTTGTTGAATTCGGCGGCTTTGCAAATGGCTCTAATGGAAATGATTAGACATCTTGCAAGGGTGGCATTTGATCATTGTCCCATTATTTTTAAATCTGATGATGTACCTCAGTTCCAATCTATGTTGTTTAGATTTGGAGATACTTGGAAGTATTACCTGCAACATGGAGCATTGTCACTAAAGCTTGGGAGAAGAATGATTTTGGAGATGCATTGGATATCCTTGACAGAAAAATTTACAGAACTATGAAAGCCTTATATTTTTGGAATAAGAATAAATGCAAAAACTTGTGTTTGCTTACGGATATATTGAAAGATGATATTCTTAAGCTACAATTGGAGGAAGATTTGGAAGGAGGACTAATCTCTGAAAAGTTAAACCCACTTCGCTCTAAACTTCATGAACTTAATGTGACCTTGAGTAGATTATATTCATGGTGGTATAAAAGGGCAAAGGCGAGTTGGCATCAAGAGGGTGATACTAATTCTAAATTCTTTCATGATTATGCCTCATCTATAAAAAATGGGAAGCTTATTAGATAGATGAAGGATGATGACAGTAATGTAGAAGAAGATATGGACCAGATTGAATTAGTTTTTATAAAAAATTTTGATAACAAATTGCATTTAAGAGATTGTGTTTTGATGAATTGGCCTTTGGTTAATGCAAACCAGAGGATTAATGAAGATGTTATTGATTTGCTATGTGTGGAATTCATTGAAGAGGAGTTTTCTACAATAGTTTTTCAACAAAATGGAAACAAATCTCTTGGTTTGGATGAGAGTACTTCTTCATTAGTCAAATTCTATTGGAAAATTGTGAAAGGAGCATCTTGGAAAGCAATTGATGAGCTTTTCAAAATTTTTTTCATGAATAAAGCATGGAAGGACACAATGATTATTCTAATTCCAAAGTTGAAGAATCCGGTTTGTCCATATAATTTTCGTCCTATTAGCCTTTGTCAAACTATTTACAAGGTTGCTACTACTATGATTGTGAATATATTGAAGTGTAGTATTTCTAAGATTATTTCTGAAGAATAAGTAGCCTTCATCCCACAAAGATCTATGTCTGAGCATTGTTTATTAGCTCATGAAATCTTAAATAAATTCAAAATTTCTAAGAATAAGAAAGGTTTGATGGCAGTTAGACTGGATATGGAGCAGGCTTATGATAGTATAGGGTTGGAGACTTTGAAGTATATCTTAAAGTGGTTCAGTATTCCAGATAAGATTTCTATTCTTATTATGGAATATGGAGTAAATGTGAGATTTTCTATCCGATTGAATGGGAAGAGCACTAGATGTATTGAAGACAAAAGTGGTTTTTGATAAGGATGTCCTATGTCACCATATCTACTTATTATGTGTTCCCAGCTTTTACCAAATGCAATTAATAAAAGAGGACAAGAACTGGGAATACATATTTCTCCAAGAGCTCAAAAAATCATTCATGTGCTGTATGCTGATGATGTGTAATTGTTTAGGATACTATCTCCTTATTTGATTCAAGTTAAGAAGGGCATAATTATCAAGTATTGTGGGTGGACTGGGTAAAAAATTAACGAAGAGAAGTCTCAAATTATCTTTCAGAAATCTGTTAGATGTTCCTTGAAAAGGATAATTGGAAAAAGATTTGGCTTCAAAGTGGTTAATAAGCTACAATACTTGGGAATCAAGATTGTATTACGTAGAATGGTGAAGAATGACTTCCAATCCAAGATTGATTATGCATTGGAAATACATAACTCATAGGGAACTAGATTCTTATCTTTGTCTGGAAGTATGTTTCTCATAAGATCCTCTTTTCTATCATTGTTGATTTTCATATCAATTCTTTTTTTTTTTTTTTTTGAAGATTGCAAAGATGCATTAAGAACTAAAGGAAACAGTTACAACAAGTCAAAGAAAAGCAGCCTCATATTCCTTCTTCAAAAGACATGATAGGGAAGAAGGAATATCAGGAGAAGAAATAGAATCAAAACAGAAATCATTCTTCAATGCAAGAGTTGCACATAAATCAGCAACTTTATTACCATTCCTGTCTGTATGTTGAAAAATCACCTTATTGAAGTCGTGTAAGAAGTAAAGCTTCTCAGCATCTTGACCAGCAGCAGTATTCTTCACGACAGAGTTATGTAAGAAATTGATAACATTGTAGTTATCTCCCTCTATAATCAGTCCTTTACAGTTAAGTTTCCAATCATGAATGTAATCCTTCAAAGTGTAGACTGCTTCCAATTCTAATTGATTGATGTCCCAAAGTAATCTCTTCTTCCCAAATGCAAGAAGTAAATTGCCTTTAGAATCCCTTGTTGCACCGCCGATGCTTGCCAATCTAGAGTCCAGGAGAGATGCATCAACATTAAATTTAATCCAATCTAGTGGTGGGGGATGCCAAGTAGTACCGAAATCCCTTAGGAGGTTAACATCATAGTTAACTAGAAATGGAAACTTATTGGTGGCAGCAAAGATCACATTTACAGCAATCACAGAAATAGGGGAAACAGGATTGCAATGCTTTTTATCGTTTCTGCGGTTCCAGGAATAATAAACTGCCGTGCAGAATAGCCTAACAGTATATGATCCTTTAAAGGAAAGCATTTTAAGATGTTGGAAGCAATCTTCAAGAGAGCTAAATACAGGAATGCAGAATCCACATGTTCTCAATTTATTCAATATCTCAGTTAGAGACTTATAATGAATTAAAATATGCTCGAAGGTTTCAATATCCAGGCAACCATAAGCACAAAGATCATTAGTAGTTAGCTTCCTGTATTTCAAGAACTCGTTCGTTGGAATGGCAAACCTGCTTAAACGCTACCAAAAGAGTTCAACCCTTGGCTTAAGTTTCAACTTACCAAGCCATATAGCAAAGCCATGATCTTCAAAGGTCTTCTAATACTTAATCACTTCTGCGTAAGCCAATGAAGTGATTGATTTGCCTGAATGTTGGTAAAGAAGATCCATACTGTCATTGTCATCATTATTAATAATACTATGTGCAACAATGAGGTTAACTAAATCTGGGTTGAAGTAACGGTTAAGTTCAGTATGATTCTAGTGACCGCAAAGAGAAAATTCTTCAATGTAAGATTTTCCAAACTAATACAATCAGCTAACATTGGCCATTTATTAAAATTTTTATCAAGGAGCCAAATATCATCCATCACACTAATGTTAGCACCATTGGCAATTTTCCCTCTAATGATAGGCTTAAGTAAAGAAACTCCATTGGAGATTATGGATCTGGCAACGGAGTGTCCCTGTTTAGACTTACCATTCCATATATCTGAAGCATGTTTAGCAGTCAAGTATTTGAACAAAAGAGAGGAAGGATTTTGATAAAGTCACCAAGCTAAGCGGGCACGTAAGGGTCCAACTCTTTTAACTGAAGAGTGTATACCCAGTCCTCCACAATTTCTCGGTATACACAAGTCATCCCAAGCGATGTAATGTAGTCCCTTGTTACCTTTATTCTGATGCCATATGAAGTCACAACAGATACGGTCCAAATCATGAAGTATTTTCTTAGGGATTAAGGAGTGAGTAGAGACAAAGGTAGGAAGTGAAAGCAGGAATGATTTTGCCAGAATTTGCCTACCAGCCATAGAGAGGAACCGAGCTCCCCAAGAATTGAGTTTATCTAAAGCATGATCAATAACAAATTGATAGTCATTCCTTGCCAGCCTTCTCAAAGCAATTTTAATGCCAAGATAGTGAAACTCTTTGACAATTTTAAAACTAGTTTTTTTACCAATCTTACGTTTCAGAGATTGGTTAGTAGAATTCCCAAAGATAATATGTGATTTGCTCTGGTTTACGCCTTGCCCACTCCATCCGCAATATTCATTGATTAAATTCATCATTACACGAAGCTAAAAGATGGAGGCTTTTCCAAACAGCAAAACGTCATCAGCATAAATCAAATGAGTGATTTTAGGAGCTCTATTGGACGTATGGATGCCAATTTGAAGACCTCTTTGCTGAATTAAGCTAGAAAGAAGCTGAGAGCACATAATAAAAAGGTTAGGTGACATGGGGCAACCTTGTCAAAAGCCACTCTTGGCTTCAATCCATCTTGTTCCTTTGCCATTCAGAAGAATAGAGAACCGAACTTTGGTGACGCATTCCAGAATAAGGTTAGAGAAACTCTCCGGGAACCCAAACCAGAGCAGAACATTCTCCAATTTCTTCCAACACATGCTGTCAAAAGCTTGGGCCATGTCAAGCTTGATTGCCATTAAGCCTTTCTTATTTTTTGAAATCTTGAATTTATTAAAAATTTCTAGAGCCAAGAGGTAGTGATCAGACATAGATCTGCCCGAAACGTATGCAACTTGCTCCTCAGTGATGAGTTTAGTAATGAAGATCTTGAGTCTATTAACTATCATAGTAGTAGCAATTTTGTAGATAGTTTGACAAAGACTTATAGGGAGAAAATTAGAGGGAGTTACCGGAGTATTAATCTTGGGAATAAGAACGATCAAGGTGTCTTTCCAAGCTCCATTCATGCGTCCAGCGGTGAAAAAATGATTGATAGCTCTCTAAGTAGTATCTTTAATAATGTCCCAATAGAATTTGAAAAACGAAGAAGTTGAACCATCTAATCCCGGAGATTTGTTTGAGCCTTGCTGGGAGATGGCATTAAAGAACTCAGTTTCAGAAAAAACTGAATTTAGGCAATCAATATCTGCATTATCAAGTTGCTGTTTGTGATCAATTTTAGGCCAGTTCTGGATATTGCGGTTCCTTGGCTTCCATTTATCTTCAAAGAACTTTAAGAAAACTGATTCAATTTTGTCCAATTCCTCCACAGTGGTATTATTCTCATCCTTAATCTGTCTGATCAACTTGCCATTCTTCCTAGCCGTCGCATAGGCATGATAAAATCTAGAGTTAGTATCTCCATCTTCATTCCATTTGGCTTTTGCGCGATGGTTCCACCCTGTAGAGAGTCTAACTAGAGTAACGTTAAATTCTCTAACCTTACTGCAGAGTGTATCAAGATCTTCAGGACAAAGACCACCCTCCTCATCTTCTTGCAATTGCAATTTAAGAATGTCATTCTTCAGTTCATCTTTTAGCTGGTTCAAGCTTTTGCATTTGTTTCTATTCCAGAAAAAAAGGGATTTCAAGGTTCTCTTGATTTTTCTGTTAAGGACTTCCGAGTCATCACCATAATCATACTTATTCCATGCTTTAGCAACAATGCCTTTGGTAGCGGGATAGGATCTCCATGTATCTTCAAATCTGAAGGTTTTGGAATGCGAATGCATAGTGTCGTCAAGCTTGAATGCCACAGGATTGGTCTGAAGCAATTCACGAAAGGTGCTTTACATATGCAGACGAAACCTACTGTAAGGCAGATGAATTTAATAAACAGCGATCGAGCCATTCCCAAATTCTAGTAATGCAATGCTTATTATTGCACCAAGTGTATTTAGGACCAACAACGCTTAAGTCATGAAGATCTTGATTTTCCATAAAAGATTTCATTTCTTCGGTTCCTTTAGTCATTTTAAACTGTTTGCCACCTATTTTATCCTCAGAAGAAAGGAGGCAGTTGAAGTCTCCTCCCACAATCGTGGGTACATCAATCATCATAACCTTGTCAAGACGATTCCAAAGATCACGTCTGATTTGAAAATCCTTATGACCATACACCATGGCAACATGCCATAGGCCTTTATTTGGTGTAGTCAAAGCTCCGAAGACAACCTGTGAGGTATGTTCAATCGCAGTAAAGCTAGCCAAATTGCTATCCCACATAATCAAAATACCTTCTGCAGTGCCAACTGCAGGTTGGTGAAAGAAATCCCAACTGTTGCCAATAATACGGCAAACATCAGTCTTATTAATCTTGGAGGCTTTGGTTTCAGCCAGACCAACATAGAAAACATAATTATCCCTAACCACTTCCTTAAGGTAGAGGGCGGTCTCTTTCTTTTTGACCCCTCTACAGTTCCAGAAGATTAAGGAGGACATTAATTAACCAAAGGGGAAGAGTCCCCATCTTTCTTTCTGAGTTTCCCTTCCACCTTTCTCTTTCTGGAAATGGGTTCAATGGGTCCCAAGAATTTTAATTGAGGCTTGGCTTTCTATTTTACAGATTTTGAATTTGAAACTTCAGCATTACTGTCCAGTGGAATTCCAACAAGCTCCTCAGAAATGTCAATGGGAACATCAGCTGACAATAAACTATCAGAACCATTCTGATTAATTCCAGAACAATCTAATGTCTCCAAGTGATTGGGATTAGAGATGGAACCAGTTACTTGTTCAGCAGCACAAACTGGAGAATTAGAAAGCAAGTAATTTTCAGTTTTCCCATCTACAACTTTATCCAGATCGGAAGTAGTATGCATTCCCGATTTTTCTTCAGTGTTTGAGTCAGACATATCATCAAGAATCCCAAAGCTATTTGAAATTTGTAATTCTGCTACAGAGGTAGTTTTAGGATGTTGTGGGGGATTGATAGCCCTGGTAGTTGTTTCAATTATGTCATCGAGAAAGTCAGAACTCCTGGAAAATTTCAAATCCGTTTGAGCTTCAATACTCTGATGTAGGTGATCATCAGTATCGTTTGTAATAGAGATGTCTGGATTGAGATGATTAGTATTGCCTGAAGTGTTTGTTGCCTTATCATCTTTCCTAAAAGATGCCACACGATTCCTCAACTGTCTCGATCTCTTCTTGAATTTGACGTGCATCCAAGGTCCATAGTCATTTTGTTCTTCTTGGTGGGACCCTTCATTTGTAACTTCAATCGGAGATTTACCAGTTCCAGTAGCTCGGAGGAGATCAGGGCAAACCGAATTCAGATGACCAATTTTTGCACAATTGAAGCAGAATGAAGACAATTTTTCATATTCGACCTTTTGAAAAAATCTTCCACCTAAGCCATCAACCCATATACCCGAAGGTAGTTTGTTTTCCAGATTTATGCGCACACAGACCCGTTCGAGTTCCTTTTTGCTCCAACTAAAGGAATTACCATCAAAGAACAATGGTGTGCCAATTCTTGAAGCTATCATGGCTATGTTGGTTTCGTTCCAACAGTGCAAAGGCAGGAGAGGGAAGCGAATCCAGACAGGTGCCATTAAGCCTTTCAAAGAGAGCGGAGAAAAAGACGGTGACCATTTGTCGAGCCCAATAATGTGTCCACCAATGTACCAAGGTCCTCCGCTTAAAAATTCATCCATAGCAGTGGTGGTCTTGAAAGAACATAGAATCCAATTCATCCCCAAGGAAGTTAGATGAAAATTACCAAAACTATTCCATTGTTTGCGTAACTCAATACTGCAAATAGATAATGGAATATTCTTTCCTAGAACTTTCAGCACAATAGAATTCTGAAGAATTTTAGAGTTGGTGATTTCCAATTCGGTGTTTAGTTTGACTGCTAACCCATCTGAAGACATGATGGTAGAATTGGGATCAAAATTGATCTTAATGCGTTGAGGACTTGACCAAGCATTAACAAAAGAAGTCTTCGGGTTCTTAATGTCTTCAACATGCTTGTCTTCCAATGAAACAGTATCACCCAGATTTGCAGATTTCCGGGAAACAAGAATATCTCGATCCAGAGTTCCAAAAATTAAATTTGAAGAATCAAGGAGATCTTCAATTCTATTAGCATATTTACTTCTTAGGTCAGAAGATAAAGGATCTAATAAGCCCTTGCCCTTTAAATCAGAGGTTGATGAAATTTGCAAATCAAGTCGTTCTTTAGAAATCTGAAGAACCGGACTCGAAGTTAGCAGTTCGGTGCTATTCATCGATTGCGCCAGGGGAGGACGATCAATAGAGCTCTATAGGACCATGGAAGGATTTAGATCAGGAGGATCTGAAGGCTGACGGCAAGAGGCCACCATGGCTGGAGGCGAGAAAAAACCCGCGAAAATAGAGGATTCAAACTTTCTCTCTCTAGAATCGAAAAACGAGAGCTTCTCTCTCTGATTTTCATATCAACTCACTCAATGGTTCGTAAAGGAGTTTTGTATGAATTGGATAAGTTATGTAGAATCTTTATTTGCACAAAGATAATGGTAGAAGGGGTCTTCATTATGTGGCAAGGAAAGATTTATGTAAATCAAGGAGTATGGGAGGTATGGGTTTACATTCAATAATTCATAAGGTTGGTCCTTTAAGAGCTAGATTGGCTTGGAGGTTTGTTCAAAACCGATCATCTTTGTTACGTAATAATATTTTTGCTAAATATGGTTCTAATATTTGGAATGGGGAGTTCAAAAGTGGTCATTTTGGTGTTCGGCATATCTTTTTGGATGGGGCTATTCACCTCACACAACTTATTAAATGGCAAGTGGTTAATGGAGAGAATATTAATATTATGAATGACATTTGCTTTCTTGAAAAATGTTTCAATAAATGGCCAATGTTAGCTTATTGTGTTGGATTAAATGGTGTTATGCTTCAGCATTTCTTACTTCAGGATGGTGACTAGAATGTTAGTGAATTGAATCAATTTTTTCATATAAATATGGTCAAGTTTATCTTGCAGGAATGTAGTATCCACAGTAGAGATGAAGATCATTATTTCAGCATTCTAAAAAATTAAATATAACATTAAAGATGATTATTTTGGGTTTTCTACTTGGTTAAGGAAATTAAAGCTAAATCTAAGAGTTCAAATGTTTTGGTGGAGAATGAGGACGTATACTTTACCAATGAATGAGTTTTCAAATTATAGAAGGATATGGCATAATGATCTTTGTGCTAGAGGTTGTCAAGATGTTGAAGATTATTGTCACATTATCGTTCATTACAAATTCTTGATTGAAATAATTTGCAAAATAAGACAATGGGGATTTCAAATTCCTATTTTTTATTCTTTGGCAAATTATCGATCCGAGCTTACAAGTTTCTTAAAAAATCATTTAAATATTATAAAGGTTGATTGTACAGAAGTCTTTTTTTCATGGAAATGATAAAATTATATTAGACATGGCAATTCTACCTCTCCATTTTTAGTGGTAGCTGCTAATGTGTTGTTCAGAGCCATATCCCAAGTATCCAATTCTAGTCGGCTGAGGTGCTTCTTTCCATATAGAGTTCGAGGTTCTTTGGCACCGTCGACCTCTAGAATGGATAAAGATAAATGTTGATGCATCTTTGTTGAATTCAAATATTACAAGCATTGGGGGCATTATTATAGATCATAAAGGTAGATTTCTTTTTTACTTTTGTAAAAAAAAAAAATTCATTGGGACATAAATCAATTGGAGATGGAGGCTTTTTTATCATTAAGATAATTCTTACAAGAGTGGATGTTTGAAAGCAAAGGTGTAATGATTGAGTGTGATAATCTTAATTTGATTAATTTCCTTCAAAATTCTATGAAAAAATCAACTTGGCAAGCTTACACTTTGATTTCAGAGAAGTTTTCCTTTCTTACTAACTTCAACAAACTTATTTTCCACCATACTTCAACATAATGTAATAAAGTATCTGATATGTTATCTACTTTGGCTATAGAAAATAATTTTTATTTTGATTTATTTTCATATGCTAATATTCCTTCTTCTTTGTGTAGTTTGATAAAGAAGGAATGTGATAGTTGCTTTTCTTTTATAGTTTGTAATAAGTTTAGATTTCATTAAAGCAATTTGTAGTCTTCAAAAAAAAATTTTTAATTTTAAAAAAAAAAAAAAAAAAAAAAGAGAATTAAAGATTGTATTTGGATTCAAAGACAAAGGCAATGATGTGACCTATGAAATAATTTGGCTTTCTTTCCTTTCTAGGATCTTGAATGCTAGTAAGATTTTCAAGTTTTTGAATAATTAGATTAGTTGGATTAAAATAAATTCCCATAATTATAAAATAGGAAGTGAGAGATAGAAGGGGTGTAATATCGATCCGATCCCCAACTTTTGGAATTACTAAATTATGAAGGATATATTAAATAGTTCAGGCATCTTAAACTAAAGTACTACATAGACAACTTCTTAAGGGTGGTGTTTATGGGGATTCAATTATTGTAAAGTAGAAAGGCATAAAAATGGACATTTTCACCTATGGTAGAAATGTATAAGATTTTTTCAAAGTCTTAATAGGTAATTTCTGTAGGCATTCAATTGGTATAGGATTGAAGGGCAGTGCCCTCACTATTGTGTAGAAGGCTAAAATAAATTTGAAAAGGAGCTCAAATTAAAAGGGAGCAAGTGAATATATTCAGTGCTTGGTCTAGGACTTCTAAATTTAAAAGTTTTAAAGGATTCATCTCAACAACCTTATAACAATGATAATCTCTTTCATCGGCTACTTCTGGGATGCGAGGATCAATAGGGTGCTAGAATGTACTTACTACAAGAGTTATTGAGCTCTTTCCATTGGACATTATAGGGATTAGAAGCTTATGGAGGAAGGATGAACGATTGAAAGGATTTGTGTGAAGAAAAACCTTGTATTTTCTCCATTTAAATAGAAATTGACCCTATCATACAGTACCAAATCATATCATATGGTACGACTCAATGAATTAAATTTGTCCAGAATGATCAATAAAAAGTTGGTCTTATTATATAATATGTTTTGAATCGTATTGGATGATTAGTATGAAGATGTTCATTTTGAGGCTTTACCCTAAATCATCACTGACTAGTCATATCATACAATCTGAGCAAGTGTTTGTATAGTACAATACAATATTAAATTTCATTCCTATCAAATTAAATTCATTAAATGATGGGTTCCACATGTATCATACAATAAGATCATAAATAATTTATCAATCATGGCCATTGGATGCGCTACGAGCAGTTATTTCATTTATTAGGGCCTGAAACTATTGGTTTTTGAAGGTCTCTCTGAATCTTTCCATTGAGCCAAAGAAGACCTAATTTGGCTAAGTGGATTGAGAGATCCAATTTTTTAAAGTTTCACTTGAACTTTGGGATTTAATAAATAAGAATTTTCCAGTGATCCACACTTTTTTATGTGGGAAACATTTGATTAGCTGGCCAATC